TAACTTTAAAATATAAAAATAAAACATGTATAAAGATGAACACGAAATATAACTACGACGTTTTGGATGCTTGGCAGCAGCCGTCTTGGGGGGCACTTAATTTGGGCGTCCCTAATGTCAAAGATAAAATATGTGCGCTAGCGCTATCTGTTTGTCGTAGTTGGTCTTACTCTGCGTTTCATTTGTTTTACTATTTAAAATTCCTAATCATTCTTGTTTTTTAATAATATTAATATAATATTATTTTATATTTCCTTCTTGTAACTACTTTGCTACTATTAAATAAATATCTTGTTACTTACACTATACTGCGTTTTCATCAATTCACAATCTAATTTCTTCTACAATTTACATATTTAGACACAGACCATTTTAGCAGATACAATGCGTATACGAAATTTTCCGGTTATTTAAAAAAATAACGCTAGAGGTGAGTTTAGCAGCAACACGCATTTTATTAACAAAATACTATGTTTTTATGAAAGATTCTTTCGCTCGTTCAGTTTTAACAACGTAAAACGAACGTGGAGAACTTTTATTTTACCGTTTTTTTTTAGTCTGCCAAATAATGGATATTATACAGAATATGAAAATAGTATATTTCGCTTTTAATGTTCAGATGTCAGTTGGATATTTATAGAACATTTTGTGTAAACGGATTTCTTACAGGTATCTTTTTATAAAACTTGCTCCTTTTAAAAACCGGACTGTTTATTTATTTTGAATTTAATTATTGACTTCAGTAGAATATAGATATTATGAATGGATGAATTTAGAATCTAATTAGGATAAAATCGCGATATTGGCGAACCTCGAACCAACAGCGTACCATAGTAATGATATTCAATGAAAATTAATAAATATAAAAAGGTACAGTTTAAAAAATATATAGATATTTTAATAAAATCCTTCAATGTTTTAAGATGAAAATCAAAAAACTTATTTAAAGTACGACTTACGTTTCGGATGTTTGCTGCAACAAATCTGATTTGAGAGCTATTAAAAATGTTATATGATAAAGTAAGAAGGGCCAAAGAATATCTTTGAATAGGCTTGATACGACCATCTCAAATGCATCTCCATTCACGTCTTGTACCTGTTAAGTCTACCTAGATTACTCCACACACAAACGTAGTACTTAGCGAAATGATTTCCATAGCTATTGCTCAGTCAGACCGTTATGCATTCAGCCTTTGAACTGGCTATAATTTAATTGGAACGTCTCGCATCCCGACTTGATCCAAGTTTGTTCGTCTTCGAAGTTTATTACTCGCTATAATCTTGTAAACGAAATATCGCTAAGCGTGGGTATTCTAAGAATGTGCACTTTGAGTCTGATCAATAAACAAACATTATATTGATTAGCCAATTGAATCAAAAATGATTTATTCACGTAGGTAGCACGAACGAGAAAGCAGTAAAATATTTAAAACTCTTAGGTTAGGCTCGTTGATCTAATCGTACTGTTATGAGTACGTCTCCGACTTAGCGAGAACGACGCAACACTAGTCCGACGCGATTAACGCGCGCGCCCCCGCACTAGCGAAGCAACTGTCAAAATAGGGACAATGGCGCTTTTTTGGCGTCAGAAATCTGTATAAAATATTGTTGAATTTAACATTCTCTTTCCGTCTTAAAAGTAGCAATGTATGGGGTAATCAACGGACGGTGGGTCCTATGCCCACCGGGTCCTAAATGTTTTTAATTTTTCTGAAACATGTTGGTCTGGAAATCTGGATATTATAGGAATATCAAAATTTCGTCCGGGTCACCAAACGGGCACCGTCCACCGATGTTTTCCGCCGTGAAGTTTAATACCGTTTCGGTTGCAGACTGTGGATTTTCGAATATCCAAAGCCAAAATAAGTCGACAGACGCTGGGTTAGACCTAGGCTGGGGTATTTCACCTACCATTAAGATGCCTTTACTGAATAATAAATACTTACTAGCTCCCAAATTAAAGGGCGTAGAACGAACGAGATGAACTGGCAAGAAACTTACCGCCACTCCTATTATTATCAAGTGTTTGTTACAGTTCAAAATGTTCTGGTATCTTACTTTAATTAATCTATAGCAAATTGAGGGTGACGTCACATGAAGATTATTTATTTAGTTAATATTAGTTCGTCTTTCATTGTATAATTTATAAAAAAAAAATACTGAACACGATGTCTTTAGAATAATTGATCTTGTTTTTCATCAAAAAACATGTAATAAAAAATTTTTTTTCAACTACATAAAAATTCGTATTACTATATGCGAAATATATTTTTCCTTTTCGAGTTTACTGTTTGAAGTTAGTTATTTTTTTTTGTATAAATTGGTGATACTTTTGTAAAGACTTTTGACTTTATAACATCAATCATAAGAATATTAGTGTTACTACGTTAAAATAATGTACAAAAAAACAATATACATTTAATTTAATTTTTTTTCTTAAAGCGGAATATAGAACTCGACAGGGCGTTGAGCAGCATATATATATGGCAAACAAGCAATACAATAACTTTTAAAAAAGTGTTTCTCCTTTAACAGTAGAATAGCAAGAGGTCTTATAGCTATTCAAATCATGCACGCGATGAAATCCTTGAACACAATTCGTGTTTATAGTGCGATATAAATAAAAACACGGTGACATCTTAGTATGTGTGTGTCGTATACGTAAACCGCAGTTTTCCGGCGAGGCCGCGTGTCTGATGTTTTTATATGCGGGAACCCGTCATATCGTTTATTGCTTCACGGGGCCAGGAAATTCGCGATCAAATGATACTATATATTTAATTGTAATTTATATTACAATTTAAACTATATTACGGTAAAGCTGAAGAGTTTGTTCGTTATTCGTTAATTTTAGGAACTACTGTTCAAATTTAAAAACTATTTCTATATTGGTTAGAGCATTTATTGAGAAACGATTGAGGTTGTATAACAATACGATGTATTCAACAACTTAAGGAAACGGTGGAAAACGTGTAAAAAAACAGTTCAAGTGTCCTTTTAGAGTTTTATGGTAATCAAATTAGTTTGGACAAAGCTGTTTAGACTTGTAACAACACTATTAATCTTGCGAACAATAAAACAGCGTTTGTTGGATGAAGTAATAATAAATACATTCCCTTAAACGATTTAAAACGCGTAATATTAAAGCAACCGTATTTAAAATAAAAGGGACTCTTATATTACGCGTTTTAAATAGTTAAAGGCGTTTTATATCGTTTTACTACGTAACTCTTAATAATTTTTGCTATTTGTAAAGCATAAGGCGTTATTTGTAAAACAATTTTGTTTTAAAACGAGCTTTATCTACTTATACTTTGTTATCGATGTACAGATTTTAAAATTTAATAAACAACTTCTCGAATTATTAATGTCAAATTAAATCCGTGTCTATGCCCTAATGGTGTCAAAATTATATAGCTTGTTTTAGAAGAAGTCTTTCCTAGTTACTTTAATCGCTACTTCACTCCACATATAGATAAAAAGTAAAACAAAACAAATTCAAAGAGAAAAAAATTTAATCTCAAAATAATATAAAGTTGAGCTGAAAACTTTCATGCAGACTTTTTATAAGTATTATTTATTCAGTACAATACAAGTAAATAAAATTAGCAAGTATTTTAATCTCATGATTGATTAGATCACAATCTTACCAATAAGAAAGCTGATAGATTCCAAATAATTAATCAAAGTGCACATTATGTCCTAATGATTTTACACACAAACATATGAAGTTGTGAACTTTCAAACAGTTTTTTTATAACCCAGGTAGTAACTTCCGAACTTGTAATTACAAATTAGGTTTAACCAATATATAAATATTATAAAATTTTATACATTCTCATTGAATAAAAAAAACATATAATTAAAACAGTTTTAACGGTTTAAAACGCGAAATATAATAGTTAAACAGCAGTCGTGGTAGTACTAGTTACCCATGTGATTGCGGCTGCAGAGCATACAAAACGTCGGGTCAAAGTTACTGTAAATTAAAAAAAATAATAATCATTCGCGTTTTAAACCGTTAACAAACTAAATAAATGAATACTATTCACGTTAACTACACAAAGGCACCCATGATTTGCTTTTAAGTTTACGCTTATATATTGAAAACCGAACTAAGGAATTTTACTTTGCTCTGGTAACCCTGGCTACGATGCCCCACACCGCGACTTTAGATAAACGCTCCATTTCCCCTATTCTGCTTCACTCTGGACTTATATTTCACTCTGTCTGCTAAATTTAAAGCCACACACAAAGAGAAACACCACTATGTGAAACTGTAGTGAATTTCAGTTCGTTTAGATTGCTCTAGTTGATAACAATCCTTCACTTTGAAGAGGACCCTAATAGCTGTAAAATTGGGCAAGTGATAAAATTATTTCCATTGTAACTAAAACAGAGAAATCGCTATATTATTTACGGAAGAACTTTTAATGGAATCGCTGCACTAAAAATATCTTAAATAAAACACTTTTGACAGTTTAAAATGCGATAAATTAACTTATTTCACGGTTGGGGAAAACGGCTCCTGCAATGCATAAACGTCGGGCCGTAATTAAACTAAATTAAGAATAAGTTTAGTTAATGTATTTCGCGTTTTAAACCGTTAAAAGTGTTTCATTTAAGTCGTCGTAAATACACAAAATATTTTATTAACTAAAATACTTGGTAAACAGATTTATTCCTAACTTTATACGTTTAGAATTAAAAAGTAACTGAAGCAACTCAAAAAATTTAAACTGGTTGCAACTATCTAAGCCTAGGATCCTAAGTATAGAATGACCTAGAATTAAATAATTTGCACGATTAAAGAGATTACTGAGTCTGAGACCGAACCAACGTTAATAATAAAAAATAATAAATGGCTTGGACTGTGTTTTGAAATTTTTGTGTTGGCTTAAGCCTAATTTTATACAAAACACTAATTTTAGTTTTTTCATAAAAACATCCCTTTTGAATTGATGATGGCGACTTCATAAATAATATTAGGGAACTAAAGCTTAGCCTTGATATGTTCCTAAGTAAGCGTTACAATTCGGGCAGTAGTGGTCTGCATTTTGACAGGAATCCACACAGTATGGTACACAAATGCACGGCCAGCATCTGAAAATAGAGAAAATTAATTATTAAAACACTTTACTTAGAACAGAAGGAATCTATAATCTATTTAATTTCATCAATAAATCATCGATTAACTTTAAACAGTTTAAAACTAAAAAAATTAGTATATTATAATTATTTTAACTACGGCCCGACGTTTAGATGCAGCTGTAAGGTTAGGTCTAGGAAGGTTTTATTTAAAAAGGTGTACAATTAATAAATTAAATAAAATGTATGTTATCGTGATTGATATAAACTCTATTTATGTAGAAATAAAAAGTTGAAAGGTTTAAAAGGAGGTATATTGATAACCTAATTTTTTCTAGATTGAGTTTAGTTTAAATTTAAATGCAACACTTTTAAGCTGTAAAAGCGCATATATTAGTTATTTACAGTCTACACTAGAAATTTCTAGGAAATTATTTATATGGCAAAACAACGTTTGCGTTTAGCTAGTATATGTATATAATTTTGTTAGATTTCTTTTACATTTAAGTAATAAACTATTAGTAATAAGATATAATTAAAGAAGAAGTAGATTTTTTATTCGACCATGATAATAATAACTAGTCTATAAAATGTGTACTTATTAAACAGTAAACACAACGAAGCGATTATAATTCTTAAGTAAAGTTTTTGAAATACTTGAAAACTTCTTGAAAAAAAGGAAGTGTGAGTTAGATAAATGGTGAGTATAAGATAATGTGTTTGAAATACCCAGTTTAATACCACGTGGTTTTTCAGGACGAATTTGTAATTCACCAAGCACGGCATGCCACGCCATCAAGCCCTGACGGCTTTGAATCCCGGGAAAACATTAAAACATGAGTAGTACTCATTTCAATAATCCATTTTTAACGGTTTAAAACGTGAAATGTATTGAGTAAACTTATTTATAATTTAATTTAACTATGACCCGACGTTTCGGGTGCTACCGGTATGGTGTTTTTGGGATCTAGTGTTTTTAATATGGGAACCGAGATATTGAACATCTTGAGGCCGTCGTGAACCGAAACTTCGGGCCATAGATAAAATAGAATGTAAATAAGTTTAACTAATACAATTCGCGTTTAAACCAGTTAAAACTGTTTTAATTAATCAGTAAATGGACACACAATTGTATCTGCTGCAATATGATACTTTTTTCTATGAGGGAAAAAGAAAATGCAAATTATTATCAAAGCATTGTACAGCATGGATGTATATCTCAGCCTTTTATAAAAGTGAATACTTACAGGAACAAGAATAAAAATAAAGCCATAAGATGTGTTTTCGTAGTTGCTTTCCGATCTATCCGGGTCACAATCGTAGCACGACAGGACGGACAGACTATTCTACTGGGCTCTGGACCTACTGGGACGATACCACTCATTGTAACTGAAACACAGGAATAAAAAAAAATGAATATAATTTGTCAATGTCCAAAAATGAATATAGTTAGCCCTATTTTTTTGAAAATGGGCATTTTGTTTTTGTGCTGATTGGTGCTATCTTTTGCTGTAGAAAAAAAAAAATTATTTTTATTTGTTTCTTAGGTATAATCATAAAAATTTCTGGCTAATTATTTGAAACATTTTTTCGTATTCAGTTTTGTTGCGTGTACCCCCCCTTAGACACGTATGAATCAAAAAAATATTATCTATTTATGTGTATTATTTATCATAAAAAATTTTAAGATCATGCCATTGTTGATCAACTTTCATTACTTAAATTATTACGTAACACGATACTATAAAATCTAACTTAAATAAAAAGGAAGGCGAGTTTACAGGTTTTTGCTTTGTATGCGTTTAAAATTTGGCTTTCATAGCAAATTCCATACATAAATTACAAATCGCTAATACCAATACGCTAGTGATACAATTTCATGCTAATTTGGTAAACGTATTAAGTAGTATCGCTTAATTGGGTTAAGAAGCCGAGTATTTCGTAAGTCGTTAACTTAAATTACTTTTAAATACTCTCACAAGTATAATAAAATTATTGTCAATAATGTATGTAAATATTGTTTTTAAGAATGTCTCGTTATATTAACGATAAAAAAAAATATTTAAATAAAACAATTTCACGGCTTTAAAACGCGATATATATTAGTTAAAATTGTTTGAAAATTATTTTTAACTACGTCCCGACGTTTCGGATGCAGCAACCGTTGTTACGACCGCAGTGGTCGCTGGGGTACAGCCTCCCCTGACTGTATAATTTAAATGTATACTACTCGCGTCAATACAGTCAGTATTTAATTTTAAATTTGGCTTTATATTAAGCTTACTTCGCCAGTTAATCATACATTATAAAGGACATAAAGCAAAGTTCCAATTCCCCTAACGGGGCATTGGGCTTAGTCAGTAGTTATTAAGTTGGTGTTGGCATATGGGTATGTGTCCGTTTCAGTATCATATTTTTTGCGTTTTTCTTAAACAACAATATTTTTTAAGAAAAGTTAAACAATATTGTAACTGAATAAAGTTGTAAGGAAAAAACATCCAAGGTCTTATCGAGTGCTCGTGCGCATCGCAACGAAGCGTTTTTTGCCTACCTACAAATTAAATCCTTGTCTGATTACTTCCTTCTGTTAGACAGACACGGTGAAGACCAGAAACTAGTTTCACTTTTTTCTATTACTGAAGTCATTATTAATTTTAGGTTGCAATAAAGACCCTATAGCGATATAATTTTAAAAACTTTAATATTTTTCCAATGCCATTATACAAATTAAAAACCATTTAAGCTACGTACCGATACACTACCTCAATTGGTTAGAGCAACAGCAACGCTGTGGATACCGGATCAAGTCCCGCCCGTGTCGTAAATGTATTTCAATCTAAAATCGATTTTGAATATACCTAATTTTTATATTTTAAAATCAAAACTACTGCTACTATTTTTTATACGTTTCGAATTTATTAACAATTTATGATTTAATTAAATAAATGTCAAATATTTTTGGAACCTGAATTTAAATATTACGTCATTTAATTATTTATTTCGTTACGCTAAGTGTGCACTAGACGTAAGTGACGCATAGGTCATTGACCTTACTTTAATCGTTATGAAATCCGATTACAACACGTGGCACAGGTAGGGAAACAAACCTTATAAGATCTATACGCAGACATAATATTATCTTAACTGAGCCATGTACGTGGTGGATAATGAAAAACTAACGAAGCTTTAATATATCAAATAAAAGCTTAACATACTATTCTACTAAGGTATTTATGTGTCCTTCTGTATTTCCCAAAACGCACATCTATGTTTCCTTCTTTTGTAAACATTGCTATTATAATACCAAATGAAACTAACTAAATACTGTCTATAGTTTGGAGAGTACACATTTAAATAAAAATTGTTATTAGTTGAACTACACTAGTTAACAGTTTATATATATCGCGTTTTAAACCGTTAAAGCGTTTTATTTAAAAAAGAAACTAATTAGTCTTCAGCATGATTTGCAACATTACAAACTAAACTTAATACAACTTTATACTCTTTAAATAACACGAGTAGTACGCAAGTACCCGCAAAATAGCAACAAACAATATTTAATAACACCTCTACTGCCGACGGAAAATTCCTAGCAACAATAACTATGATTGTAAAAATTACAGTGCTTCTAGTGTGTACAGTATGACTAGTAGCTATTATACCTACCTGATATCTGATAAGACCCAACAATTTGCATTACTGTTGCAACGCCTCAAAAAAATGTAAAATCCATAAAGATTTTGGTATTTCTTTAAAAAACTTCTGTATTCATATTGTATTGATAAATTTGCATATTTCCTTCATAATCAATCTGAACAATATATTTAAATTTCCGCACCTATGCAATTCTTAAAAAAGCAATTAGTCCTTACTTTTAGACTGGAAAAGCATTTTATCTACTTAAGTTCAGAGAGCTCTGCAACTTGCCGGTAAATAAAATCGTTAAATAAAACGACAATACGTTATTTTATATATGTTGATATATATCAGTTAACATACTATAAATATACTACCATTGCACTATAAAACTTTCCTTCAACTATGTAATTTCACTTTTGTTTGCCAGACAAACGACCTCCGTTCGACACACAAAACACACATAACAAATAGCTATTGGCTATTAAAAATAAACTAATAATAACTATTACTAGCAATGAAATTAATTTTACTTTAACTAGTAGTGAAATTATATTTACCTGTTTTTTTTCAATAAAAAAATGTGACGTCTCAACACTGAGCACGATAACTAGTAACTGCCTTTCGAAATGGTTAATGTAGCCTTGTAATTGGTTTAAAGTAACGTGTCACGTGACGTCACAGTGACTCACTGTTGTTTATACTGTGTATAACTTTTCAACCTCACTGATCTTAAAATGTTTGAGAAAAACGTTTCTTTTATGATAGAAGATGACAGAGAATGGACCTCCATTGATAAGATAAGAAGATGCCCTGTCGACCCATTTTGGCTTCGGATATTCGGTACAGGTTTAACCTTCATGACTTTTTCATCTATAGACGGTGGTTTGAGACCAGGATGGAATTGCGATCTTTCTACTAACTCATTTTATATCCAATTTCCAATCAAAGTCCAGAATAGACCTTAAATGAGTGGTGGGAATATCGAATCTCTGTGGCCATGTCGTGAGTGTTCAAAATGTCGTGAAATCTGACTCAATTTTAATTTCCGTTTTAAGATTTCCTAAAGCTAGTCTAAAACCTGCAGAGGTCGTCTTAAGATAATTTTTGGCTAAGGCTAAATCATGTCACATGTGATCACATGCCTGCCATTACAACATTTTTGTTTGCCATTCGTTTAAAAAACCGTTATTATTTTCTATTCGTCATCGTCATTATTATTTCACCTATTAAATGTGCCCGTTTTAACCCCGATTCAAACTGTTAAATATGCTTTTTAATTAATTGTATATTGTGTACTTACGTAAACTGTACATGTCTCTGTTTTAGTAAAACGTACCTTATTGGGGTCTAGATAGTATCAAATCGATATAGACTAATTTGTAGGTTAGTGTTTTTATGTAGTAAAAAGTCAAGGTCTTCCAATATGTTGTTATTGAACAAACTCTTATCTTTGTTTTAGTATCAAATTTTATATAAAAACATTAATTTGTATTTCTTCACATTTTTCTACAGAGGTTTTTAACTATTTTTTTTAATAATTTAATAACAATCATATCTGGAAGAGTCCATAAAAATAAAAAATGCTCTGACTTGTACTCTTAACTGATATGACATTGATAAGTGTTAATAAAATAAATATTTATTATCCTTAGTATCACTGTGCATATATTAAGTGGACTTTTCAATAAAAATAAATTTTATGAGTAGCTTAATAGTATAAAAACATTAACGTCGAAAACTAATTCTTCTAAAATAGTTCTAAATTTTGAAAAAAACGAACCTACTAACCAAAAATAATAATATTTACTTAACACATATTGATATGTAATGAAGTGAGAAATGATAAAAAAAGTATATATTATATAATTTTGAAGTTAGTACCTACTAAGTAAATGTTTCGACAACCTTAGTACAGTATAAATTACTAAGTAAACGCAATATTATGAAATATATGAAAACATTTACACTATTTAAAAAATATTAGAATCTGTATCCACTACTGCTATTATCAAACTTACATATAATTGAGAACCTCGGTAAAAAACAAAACAAAACACTAAATTTTAAAAATGGTGGAAACCAATTCGTGTTATATCCACCGCAGCGACCGGCTTACGGTTATAAATAAACGAAATGTACACACTATTATAAGTATGAATTGTGACGTCACGGACTTGGACAAGATTGAATTGGCTGATAAAAGTGAATCATTTCTGACCGTAGGTCATAAACATACTATCTGTCAAGAGTTCGTATCTATAATTACTCATGATTCTACTAACACACTCCTAGTATTAATGTCATCTACACTATACTACTAGATTCTATTGAAATTTTGGTCGTAATGTGTAGATAGTAATTAATGGATCCGGATCCAACATCTTTTTAGTTATTAAAAAAATCTGTTACATGATGAACTGCGTCGAAATCTGAATTATTGAATTTGCGGTAGAAATATCGAAATTCCATCAGGACAGGAACAAATGTCTCCATAGAAGGTGTAAAGTTTAATCGCGTTTCGGCTTCAGTCTGTAGATTTAAGCCAGAATATATTAGCAGCGAATCTTGTATAATGTTATGTGGGTGGGGTATTTGACCTTCCACCAAGTGATTGAGTTCACTTGGTTTGCCTGTCCTTCTCTATTATATATCTTTTTCATTCATTATTATATGAAACCCGTAATTTTAAGCTACAGTTATTATAAATAATAAAAAATAATATTGTAATATTTAAATGCACGCTTGTCTACCTTCTCTATCATAACAAAACTTGTTTCTAGAATCGCAACATCATTTTTGGATTTAGTCTTGAAGGTGTAAGATAATACTAACAGGAAGGGTTATATTATATTATCCAAAGAAAAGCTAAGAGAATTATAAAAAAAAACAAATTTATTTTACACATTACATAACATTAAAACAATATTTAATAACAAAACAATAATTTAATGCATGTTTATTTGTTTTTTACTTAGTATCTGTAAAATAGGAAATACAGTTACAAAATAATTTTGGCCAAATCAACCAAACAAATGAATCACTATAATTTTCTTATCATATTTTATCAACTGACTGACAATATCCTTTCTGTGTGAATAACACAAATGGACTAACTTATAGTAGATGTAATGGTTTTTTAATTACAATACAAAAGTACACTGTCCTGTTTGATCAAATACATATAAAAACACAATAGATTAAACAAATCCAGGACACATTATCATGAACATAAGTTATAAAGATCAAAGGTTAACATTTAAAAAAAAATTTAAAAAAGATTGAAGAATTTGATGATAAAGCATCTTACTTAAGAGCATTTTTAAACACAGATGGCGGCACGATAGCTTAGTTACCAAAATATTATAAACGGTCGTTGTAAGTCGCGTTGGTCGGCTCCCGGCCGTGGCATCGATTAGTTTAAAGGTTTGTAAATCTCTTTTGAAGATATATAGAAACTATGAACTGGATCCCATATAGGTTTTACATTGCGGACAATAATGGAAGGTCTTCTTGCAACTGTCCACGCAGTATGGAACACAAACACAGCACCAGCATCTACGAGAAAAGAACGTATTTCATAAACTCAAGGAAAAACATTAACTAATAACAATTATCACAACTTCGTTACTGATTACAAGACAAAAAACAGTGCCGCGTATCATTGTAAATGTTATTTTTTTTATAATCAAACGATTTATACTTTAATTATATTCTGCCTTGAAACTGTAAAACGTTAAAATTAAACGTCTGTTAAATAATATATGCAAAGCTTTGGGAGCAGGGCGAAATTAATTTTAATTCAGGTGTAGATAATTGAAAAAATTCTGGATGTAGTTTACACGAGTAGTACATTTAAATATAACATTTTAAACGGTTTAAAACGCGAAACATATTAGGTAACTTAATTACAATTATTTGTATGTAGCCTCTCATCTGCTGCCAAAAATATTTTGCGCTTTAAACCTTGAGTTACATTTTATTACTTACAAAAATAAACACAAAAAGGCGGCGAACAGGTGTGTCCTTGCAGTGGTTGCTTTTTCCACTGTAGTCACTACTTGTTTGTTGCACACTGAGCAAAAACATGAAGTGGGGTTCGGTCCCAGATTGTTGACCATAACTATCGCAGGAGACGTTGTTATCACTGTGGTTCTCGCTGGTATAACCGTTGGTGCGGGCCGGGGAGGCTGGCTCGGTTGAGTTTCGGAATATGGCGGTGGGTTTCCATATGCCGGTTGGTGGGGTGATACATTGAATCCCGGGGGGTTCCGAGGTTCGCTGAAGCCAGGTGGCCGTTGGGGCTCTTCAAAGCCCATGGGACGCTGCGGTTCTACAAAACCCGGAGCCGAGGGTCCGCCCGAGTACGTTGGTATGTTTGGAATATAGGTCGTTTTTGACATTTCCATCTGAAATTTGGATAGTAAAATACAAATAAAGGTCTTGTAGAGAATAACAAGTTTACTTTTATGTATTAAAAGTGAATGACTCTTTGTCACTATCAATATGTTTATAATTCAATAAGAAAATTAGACTTAGTGAAAGGCGACATTCAGAAAATTTTCAGCAATTAAATATAACCCAATGCTACAAATCAGATTCCTGTTGCTGTCTGAGAGGAATAGAAGGGTTTTATGAATAAAAGCAATACCTCACCGTATTTTTCTCCATTACTATTCAATGTTCCGGTATCGACTAAGTTTCTGTTATCAATGATAAGAGTTTTCATATATCCACTTTTTATCTTTTTGTGGAATGATATCATTTATAATGACATGATAACAGATATTCAAATCTGATCAAAACGTATTTTTCAATTTCGGCAAGGTAAAGTAAAATATGTTCTCAGTTGCAATCACATAATTACAATACATAAAATGTGTGTAGGTTTATTTACAAAGTTTTACAAAAAACAACATTCCAATTTTAAAAAACAACAAAAGCTGCTAACCTAATACATTTACACAAAAATGGCTTTGCTTATTAATTTTATGATGTACAATTATAGGATGGTAACTATAATAACATATAAATATATTAATGTATATTTTACTGGTAGTTTTGATTCACAATAAATTTTCTCCGTTGATTGAGCTTCAATATAAAATAAAAATTACCTAATTATTTTCAAATCCAAATTCAAAAATTGCTCATACACAGTTTTCACAATATACTTATTGACAATAGAAGAATGCGTAATACGATAATACATAAAAAAAATTGATAATGGGATCAGTTCCAGTTCCAGCTGTACTTTTAAGTACTTACAGTGACAAGCATTGTAACAGACTGGCCCCGTTGTCATAGCAACGTATTTAACAAAAATAACGTATTGCTTATTACACAAATAACGAAAAAGCCCTTTCATAGGTTTAATTTAGTTTATATAGAACGTTTTTTTGTCTTAATTTAATATCACTTTTCTTATTAATTATACGCCATGATAGGAACCAATAAACGCGTTGCAGTTAGGACAGTAGTGGTCAGCATTGTTGCAAGTGTCTATGCAGTAAGGGACGCACGCACATGGCCAGAATCTGAAAGGAAAATAAAGTTATGTTAGTTGTATTTAAATAAACCACTTCAACGGTTTAAAAATGGATATATAATAATTAAACTTTTTTGGAAATTATTGTCACTACGGCCCACGGGTATCTCCCCGTGACAACGGCTCGAAGCATTCGTGTATCGTCGTGTACACGTGTAAATCGGGTATCGTTCGTTCGTTAAATAAAACTCAACGTTTTAAAACGCCATATTTAACTTCGGGCCTCAGTTAAAACAAATTGTAAATAAGTTAAAAAATATATTTTGCTTTTAGAACAGTTGAAAGTGTTATATTCATATTAATTAGAGCAATTTGAATTTAAATAACTATAAGGTCAAATGTTTGCATGTAACTTTACGTTCGTGTTCATATATTGTCGTTTAAAAATTCATATCGTTTCATCGGGCTCTTGTAACTAGGCTATAACGTGTAGCAAATAACCTCATTCTAGTGCGTTTATTATATAAAACTTATGAACATTTATAGAATCACTAACTAAAACAAAGGTTTTAAGAATTATTTATATTAAATACTGTCTAAAGTTTTGGAGTAGTACACATTTAAATAAAACATTTTAACGGTTTAAAACGCGATATATATTAGTTAAACGTATTTGAAAATGATTTTAACTTCGGCACGACGTTTCGGATGAGACGGGGAGAAAATCATTTTCAAATAAGTTTAAATAATATATCGCGTTTTAAGCCGTTAAAGAGTTTTATATAAATCATTCATCGTATTTATTAACGGTTCTATTAATAATTAAGTTTTTTATCGTGTCAGTCAGTTTTTATTCTAACTGTATATTTATTCAAACTACTTAACATTACTTTGAAAAGGTTTTGAATGGTTAAAAAAGACTCACACTTGACATAAATCATTAAATTTCGCAAAACAGTCGAGATGTCGTTGCTTTAATTTAGTTCAAAAATAGTTTACTCAAATAAGCTATTTTGAGAGTTTTTCAATAGAGTCTTTTAAATAATATTTTATTAAAGGCATCTATCCTTGATTATGACTTCATCGTGACGTATTTAAAGAAAGTGCAACAATATATTTTGCTTATTTGTCAACTAACACGTATGACTAAATGCAATAAATTTTTAAATACATGGCATTACTCATACCTATAAATATCCTTTATAACTTGTAAAATTAATTATCTTTTGTTTCTAAACCAATATCTATAGATATCTATATCGTCCGATAAGATATCTTCGTCATTATTTAAAGCACTTACATTTCACTAAAAATTACAAGTGTAGAACTACCTTGCACCTTAAGGTTGTACGTTCGATTTTCAGTTGCGCTTATATTTACATATCAAAAAAAAAAAATTTCGCTCCTTTTGCAACACCGTGTGTACCAATAAGCATAAAGGAAGGACCGGAAAATATTTTGTTTTTATAGTGAAGGACAGACAAGCACTAGGTGAAATATCCCGGCCTGCAACATCTTAACAAGATGTCGACATATGTATTTTGGCATCCACAGACTTAAATCGACGGACGGTAGTTCGTGACCCGGACGGAATTTTGATATTCCTTCCACCCGTTTAATATATTTCCAGACGAAGTCAACGTGTTTCAGTAACATTATAATTTGATTCCAAAAATGTTGGACTCGGTGGGGATCGAACCTGATGATTATTAGCCGTAATCCACAATTTGACTTTGATAGAGTGCAATCTGACGGAAGATGCTTTAAATTGTCAACGATCCGTACGATTCACAATATCCTGATATAGCGACTAGTCTAGCTGGGTTAGTTAGCAAACAAACGTGATTTACAATCTTACAGTAACATGTAAAACTTTTGAAAACTTTAATATTTTTCACATGTTATTTAACATGATGGCTCTATATTAATAGCGGCAAAATTTTGTGCTTATAGTAACAGTGTGTAGCTGTATACAAATATAAATAGCAACTGGAAATCGAACCTACATCTTCGAGGTTTAATGTATGTTACAATTTAGGTGCTTAAAGTAATGACGGAAATATCTTATCGGAAAATATATATATTCGTTGAAAATACGTTTTTTCAAATAAGCTATTCAAGTTCTGTCTGTGTCGTTTTTTTTTTCAATTTATAATTGATTTTTAATTTATGTATTTAACTTACCCAATTAAACATAATAAAAGAGCGAAAAGATGTGTCCTCATAGAAGGCATTTGTTCAACCCTTGTTGTAATTTGAATGCCACAAGATCTGCACACCGTGACAGCTGGCTGTGTTCCCATAGACTGAGTTATAATAATCGTAGCACCTGGAACAGCTCCAGGAACCAAGGGTTCTTGTAAGGGGATTCCCTGGGGCTGATTTGTGATGGGGTTCGTATATGTCGCGCCGGGGTAACCTGAACCTGGGTATGATGACCCTGGGTTTGGCGGACCTGGATATGGTGGCGGGTCTTGGGGCGGTTTTGTGAATCCATCTGTGTTATTTGCTTCTCGCTCCATTTAGATCTAAAGAAAAACACAAAAACAGTTACAAATTGTAAGTGAGGACAATTTTTTTTAACAAAGTAGAAACATGTCACGATGTAATAAATTTGGAAACTACTGAACCAATTAAGATGAAATTCCATTTAAATGAAGCTCTGATTTATGAGAATCCTGAAATTTGAATTCAATTGACAAACACTTACTACTGACTAATACTAAGTAGTTATATAATCTATATCTCTGTCTTGTATGAAAAGTTACAGGATATAATAGAGTATTAAGATATATTAATATTGAAGAATCTATTAAGTTTAATTTTTAATGATAAAGATTATTTCAACGTCAGATTTTTATATCTGTATTTATTGTACCAGTAACTGGAATTACGATTACACCCTAAACATATACTACATTGTAATCGAGTCAACATTTTAACCAAGTAGATATCAGATAGCAGTTATCCATATCATTGATTTATCGCATTTATTGATTTTCGATTTATATATAAGGTATATGTTATTGTTTGTGTTATTAAACTTAATACACTACTTATTTTAATTAGAGCTACTACAATTTAAAAATTACAAAATTCATTAAATTAATGCTATTAAAGAAATTTATATTATATATTGCTTATTTCGACATTACTCGTTAAGGCTAATACATATTAAACAAACATATAAATTGTATTTTAATTACTACCCCAAAATTAAGTTAAAACAATGTATTACATACTCGGTATGTTTTATTATATCAATGACTAATAACCCAATTAATTTCTTATCATAAATTATTGTGGACTTACCTAGGAGAATTAGAGCAAAACTTACTAAATATTAAATTACTAATTACTTTATTTGAAATAATCCACTATTGTTTTCACAATTTTCCTTTTAAAAGGCACTAAAATTGGCAGTCTTTATCGCGTTTCGGCTGTGACTGAGCCAATCGTTCGACGCGATAAACATGTAAGGTATTACAGGCCGTCACGTTTACTGATTGTTTATGATAATTATTTATTTTTCCTAGAATTTTCCTTTTTTTCATATCGCGTCCTGTACCATTTTCATCAATCTCTCGATTCTATTTCCCTTGTGTTGTTGTCGTTTTTTTTTCGTAAGTAAGATATGTAACAAGATAACGTAAATTTAACGATTTTATATATATATATATTATATAATATTTAATAAGGTAAATCTACGGGGCACTAATATATGTATCTATTTCTTCAAGTTTATTTATTCACAATAATTTAAATATCGTTTTTATAAAGTATAAATATTTAAGATGGCTGCCGTAGTTAAATTGTAAAATTTTATTTCTATTACAACAATTAACGCGAGAATTAAGTTACTATGTCAAACTTTTTAAATCTTAAAAAGTAGAGACAATTTGTAACTATAAAATTCTTTAAGAATGTTACTCGCACAAATATATTAAAATATAGCACTTTAACGGTTTAAAACGCGATACATATTAGTTAAACTTGTTTGAAAATTATTTTAACTACGGTCCGACGTTTCGGTTGCATTGCAGCAGCCATGTTTTCGGGTAGACCCCGTTTAATTAATACATATTGCGTTGAAGTTTTTTATTTAAAAGTGTACTAATCGCGTAAACAGACAGTACAGACAGTATTTTTTTCTTCACACTAAAAGCATAGCTATGCATAATATCTAGAATGATAAGTCTAATAAGACCGAGCATAATACTTCTAATCCGTCCTCACTATATGATCTATTAGACGCGAGTGACAACCCTATTTATGAATAGCAGTGGGAAATACATACGCTGTCAGCGTAGATAAGTTAATCTTGATGGAAAAGCTATTCCACTAATGGAACTAGAAACAACAAATTTTGTACCAAATCTTTCATTAACGTCCTTGCTTTAGATTTTTTAAGCAAAGTTGGTAAGGTTTTATAGGTTCGTTATGAATCCTCAGATAGCCACCATGACTCAATGGTTAAACGGACTCCCTAGCAGTGCGTAATGGGTTTGAATCCCAGGGAATATAAGAAAAACGACCAGATTAGATATTCAACAGAATTTGAAAATGTGCTATATATAGCAATACTTCTCTGAAATTAAAAAATCATCTGTATGCATAACAAGTGGTGTACTTTGGATATCTGGATATCTCAACAAACCTATTTTCATATCTTAAATTATTTTATATATCCGCACTAAAACTTTTTTTCATTGGCGCCTGAAATAGGTGTGAAGCTGTGGCACAGAAGCCAACGCCCACTTACGTATGAACAGTTAAACTACTTAGTTGATTTACAAATATGTTAAAGCAACGCTTATATTAAAATCGAAATGCGTATATATTTTGGTACAAACACATCTTGTTCGGGTCGCGTCTATCCATATAATATTAGTGTATAATAAAATCGTATGTACAAAAATACAAAGGGATCGTTGACAAAATTAAGACTATACGGAAAACGTATCCCTCTGAAAACAAAAGTAAAACGTGGTCTGCATTGAAATTCAACAGATAGCGAACTCTGTTGCCGATTCTTGTTTACTTTTCCTTCTCTACATTTGTTTTCTCTCAAATATTCCCTTTGCTGTATTTAAATATAACCTTATTCTATTGCAAATTCATGAAACCTCTCGCATATTTATTTTCATTGATTCATCTCTGTGGGTCCCCGCTGCGTATGCTGCGAAAACGGTTCAAGATAACCTAAAAATATGTACGAAGGATTATTCCTCTTTAAATGATCTATAAAAAGATTCGTGACACTATATATCTATCTTTTAAGAATAACTAGCAAGGACGTAGTCGTGGGCCTTATTGGTTATTAATAGCCTACATTTATAAAGGTGAAAGTATCGGTTTTAGGTTTGCAAAAACAAATTCGGATGCCCAAAATTACTATTCTATGCGCACGAAGTCGCTGACACAGCTGGTATGTCATATGACTGGGATATTCCATCTATCACGAAGTAAACCTACTCTCACCCTACCCACTCTAACTCTATCATAAATATACTCGAATGTATCTGTTACCCAATACTCGTAATGCCAATAAGCTCCATTCGCGAACGCCAAACGTCAATACACCTAATGGTTTCCCCGTGAAATTAATAGATTCGCAATGCATTTGTCACCGTGCCTCTCATCACGGCGCAAAATCATGAGCACTTACCCATGATGGAGGGTTGAGGCGCACAAAGGGCCTCTATTTGTCCCATACCCGCCTCTGAGCAAGCAATTGCCTAATTGAAACGTCGAATGCGCACCGCAATCCATACACATTCCTAGATTTATCATCCTCTTGATTGTATTACCTGCCACGTGTATATCTATACTAATGTATAAAACTGAAGAGTTTGTTTGTTTGAACGCGCTAATCTAAGGAACTACTGGTTCGAATTGAAAAATTCTGGATCACGCTGCGACCAGTAGGAGACAAAAACAAGTGGAATATGTGAAAAAAAAACGTCTAAAACGATCGACGAAACGTGTGCTGCGAAAACTGTTCGAGAAACCAAAAAATTAGATTAAAGGATCTTTTTCCTTCGAATTAACTAAAAAACTGTTCGCAACTATATAACTATATGTCTTTCTTTCAAGATTAACTCGCAAGATCGACGCAACGCGGTTCTACGAATTCACCGTCATAGCCAGTTAATATATAAAGCTAATATTACCCACGACTGTCGAAGTCGGTTGAATTCTCTTTAACGGTTGATATATGAGTACATATGATGATATGTATAGTTGATATGTATGGCTATGATGATGGAAGAACCGAAGATGGTGGGAGTTCGTAGAATATATATTTGGCGTTGTTAAAAGTATTTTATTTAATGTTTATCACTCACATAATGGAACACAATACAATGGAACTAGAAAATTAAACTTATTATTTTTTTTGGTTCAACTATGAATTGTGATAAAAAGATGCAAGTAAGTTACAAAGCATATAGTTAAATTCTAAGTAGAGGTAAAGCGAAACAGCTAAATGTGAAAATATATGAAAGCAACAGTATGTGCGGTCGGAAAAGCGAAATTGAAAATAAACCGCAACAAGGCACGGTCGAAAAGTTTCGCGACACACTCAAAATGACCGTTGAGGACAGTCGAGTGCTCCATAACTTTATTATTGCTCTTCGAGACGCACGAGGGTCCAAATTTTTGAGGTAACATTTATCAGCTCAGTAGCTTTTCAGTAATTCTCTCGTATTTTTGAATTTTGTATGAAAGGTTTTCAGGCGTTGATTGTCCTAAATTTATTGAAAGTATGAATTTGAACGAACCATTAAATCGCGTTTCCAAATATAAATATAAATCCAAAATAGTCGACGACGCAAGAACAAGTAATCCCATGTTTGTCTATCCTTTAACGTGAAAAAATTAATTTAGTTAAAAATGGGATGGAAAACAAACCCTCGACCCTAACATTCCGCTTCATTATCTATCTTCATATGAATACTCAATTTTTTTTTATTCTTTTAATCAAACCCTATTTTATACCTTTAGATCCAAAGCCAAAATAGGTCGACTGCGCACAATATTTAGATTAAGTGAACACCATATTTGTTTATCCTTTTCTATCATTAAAAAACATTAATAACTAGCTGGTGCCCGCGACTTCGTCTACGCAGGATTAGAATTAGGATTATGTAATATCGCGCATTTAAACTAAATGATATCTATCATGACATACCTTACATAATTATGTGTAACTAACGTTTATAGCACGCCAGAATAGCTCGCAGAAAGGTAGGTTTTTTCCTAGTTACTTGACACTTAATGTCATATTTTAGACAGCTCACACAATATCTTTATAAACTGTAGCGTATGTGTTATTCTGATGTATAAGCTATATTATTGGAAAGTTTAATTGAAATCCATTCAGTAGTTTTTGCGTGAAAGAGTAACAAACATCCATCCCAACATACAAACTTTCACGTTTACAATATTAGTAGGATAAAATACATCTCATATCGTATAATCAATTATGTACAATGATTTTCAGCGAGTAGGTTATTTTACTTTAGAAAAACCTCAGTTAACCGTAGCTTTAATGAAAAGAAAAGTTTAATATCCTCAACGACTATAGTTCATTAACGGAGTCAATATAACAACCGTTTTGCGTGTCAATATTGACCGGCTATTAACGTTTAACTTTTAAACTATACATCAATTCAAACGTCTAACGCCTGATAGGAAATAATAGCATGTTTGCTCTAATAAGTGACTGTTATTATTTACTTGTAGAGTAGGTACGTTGATTTCGATAACGGTTTTTTTTAAATAGAACTTAGCACTACCAGCATTTAACTTGGCAACGACTACAGCAATTGTACTCCCACGGGCACTTAGCTAACTTGAAAGTTCTAATGTTAATCACATGCAAATGTATCCCAGAAGTCTGCGCTGGATTCGGCGCGATCCCAAGAGTTAATGTTTTCATCCATTAACTCGACCGCGCTCTTATGAAATTCGTGCCCGCGATCCGAACAAGATTACACGGGCTAGCTGACATGTTTCCATTGTTAGGGCTGTCAAAAGTTTTATATTTTAGCAATATTTAATTTGAAATGTTTACGACGGGTAGTCGAACCCAAGGTTTTTATGATAAAGGAGGCTTGTTGGAAGATAAGACATTCCAGCCAAATGATATCTCACCAAAGTAATGCTGCAGAGTATTTTTAGTTCAATTGGTTATAGCAGCAGCATGGAACGCCGTGGATACCGGTTGAAGTCCCGCCCGAGTTGATGTTATAAAAAACACTTTAACGGTGTAAAACATAGCCACGGCTAACATACGTTTAGCTAATATATATCGCGTTTTAAATATTTTTAATTTATATAACGCCATCATGTGGAATAACATGTAAAAAGTATTTTTTTCAAATACCTTATAAACTAGATATATATTTCAAGATGTATTCTTCACCCCTACGCTCTCGTTACCTGCCTGATGGCACCTCAGGCGTACACTGCGTCTTACAGCCATCTTCATTAGACCCATCATTACACATTAATCACTCCTCGCACATCTAATATTAGAAGGTAGGAGAGGGGGAGGGTAGCTCAAGAAACACTGGCAAATCAGTCGGCAGGTTAAACCGTATTTGCTAATGGAATACAGATGTGAAGATGAACAACATTTTGAGGTTTACCGTAATACCAATACGTTGTTTCTATTCTACCCTGTAAGCTTAGAGGTGTTAACGCAACACATACTAAACACTTAGGCTTCAGAAACTTTGAATGGAAATTCACTGGATCCATCAAAGGATTTATCTTCTTTAAATTTCACACTTAGTATTTTAGGATAAGCGCGGGTCATTTGTGTTAATACATTGTATATAAATAACTAATTATAACTATAAGGCTTGTTGCTGCACCTCTAAAGTAACTACGCTTTAGAGAAATCTACTAAAACGTGGTTACGTTTACATAGAATGTTGATAATATTAGCATTATATGTACACATATTTTTATTACATATTTCGACTAATTAATTTATCGATAATTATTCCAAATATTTCAATCCTAAAAGATTACTTCAAATACCTAGATTAAATACCATTTCTAGTTTATACCAGTGGTACACATTTGAATTAAATATTTTCACGGTTTAAAACGCGAAATATATTAGTTAATGCATTCAAATGTTTTATTTTAATATCTGGATTACATTATCCTCTCTTTTATGTATATTTACATTTTAATGTTCATTATATCTTTACCACATTACTGTAAAATTACGTTTAATAATTTTGGCGTGCAACAGTCTACAACTTACTTCTCCTTAGTAATATTTTATCAGTACTAATATTATAAATCTGAAGAGTTTGTTCGTTTATTTGTTTAAACGCGCTAATCTCAGGAACTACTGGTTCGAATTGAAAAGTTATTTTTTGTTGGGTAGAGGAGAGGTTTGGGTGGAGTTGCGTTTATCGAGAAAGGCTAAGCTGCATAGGGGCAAAGGGACAGTGCAAAATATGGAAAAAAATGGGGAAAATATATCTTGGAGGGTTTTTGTTTCGTGCTGCGAAAGCGGTTCAAGAAACCATAAGAACGATTTCTGTGCAAATGATCTACATTTATTTATTTATTTATTTATTACATTATAAAAATATTCTAACATTACAGAACAATGTCCATTGCGATAGAATTATTTAATACATATTTCATGGAGTGATGTTTTTGTCAATTCACCCAAGCTACACGTAAAAATGTCGATCCCCTCCTGCAGCTTGTTGATAACACGCATAGCACGAACAAGAGGGGATTTCATCAGTAAGTTGGTGCGTGAGTACGGTAGCGCAAGTAACGGTGGTCGTAATCGCCTCCACACGTATCGGTCCGGAACAGACAAGTGTAAGGACTGTAGAACTCCTGGGTTCAACTCTCGACCCCGCAATACTTTTACTAGATATATCACAAGGAATAAGTCCCTCCGTACCTTCAATTCATTGTATCCGACCATGCCTAATACAAAAAGAGTCGGATACATTAAAGGATAATATGGATATACTCCATACATTCTTTGGTACAAATGCCTAACAAATTTGTTTTGAATGCGTTCCAACATGAGTTTGTATTTTTCTTCGGCCGGGGCCCAAATAGAGGAGTTAAAATCTAAATGGCTACGCACCAATGCGTCATATAATACCCGCACCGCAGCCATATTCGTAAAGTCCTTGGTTTGTCGTAAGACAAAACCAAGGTTTCTATATGCTTTTTGGCAAATATTTATAATATGTTCACGAAACGTTACGTCGTTCGTGAATAAGACGCCTAGATCCCGGATTCGAGTCTCTCTTCGTATGCGGGTTGTCCCTATGGTATAATCGAATTTAACAGATTTACAGGCGCGTGTAAAACTGACGACAGAACATTTATCCAAGTTAAATTCTAGTTTATGTTGCAGACTCCAGGTGTATATCTTTTGGATATCGCTTTGTAAGCATCTGCAATCGTTCACGTCTTTAACTTGTAAAAAAACCTTCAAATCGTCCGCGTACAGTAAACACTTGCTATGCTCTACGACTGATGGTAAATCATTTATCGTGACGACAAACTCGAAAGGTCCAAGGTTCGAACCTTGACTTATTCCAGACCTCGTAAAATATGGCTGCGATTGATGCCCCCCATAGTCTACATATTGCTGCCGATCACTCATATAAGAAGCCCAGAACCGAAGAAGTCCAGGAGTGCATCCTACCTGTGCCATTTTTTGTAATACTACGTCATTTTCCAAAATGTCGAAAGCCTTCCTAAAGTCGAGGTATACGACGTCGACTTGCGAC